CTGAAGAAAAAAAGCTATTTGGGAGCCGATTACCCGGTCTCACCATAATTTATACGGACCGGGGGTGAGGCCCACACAGTAGGTGGGTGTGGGCTAAAGTTTTCAGTGCTGCACTGCGCGCGTAGGGATAAACCCACTAGCAACAGCCTAAAGGGCTATGCCTATACTCAGAATCTGGGGTTACAGTACGTAACCAACATTTTATTTGTCAATAAAACCATGAGAAATTCCAATAACACCAAAAAAGAGAAAACTGAAGCTGAAACAAAGGAAGTTTAAGAGAATATTAAACTGTCAATTTCCAGTTTCTTTGTTGGATAACAATTTACAAAAAATAAGGAGATCTACAACTGTTTTTATTTGTCTTTGTCAGACAACCGATGTGACTGTACAGCGGACACTTGTCCTTAAAGGCCTTCCTCGCTACTTGGCGACGACTAAGAAGAGTTTTACAAAACACGCTTTGTAAATAAAAATTATAATCTAGAACATATAAATTTAAATATTTTGGATTAATGCGTTTTTAACAAAAATAATGTAGGTACAATAAAAATAAAGTTGAATAACATTTTACACTGCAACGTCATATATAAAATCTGAAATTTTATTGAACTGTGTACAGCCCCTGGGCAACACACTGACCGATTAGATGAAACATAATGTGTGATTGTAAACCAGGAAACACAAAAAAGGGCGTGTGTGTTCTGTTAGGGTTCAAAAATCATCTAGATTTTGAGTTTCATCAGATTCCAGCTGACCAAAGCAGCCAGAAATTTGTTGCAGCACTACAGCAACATTACTGGACCTCTACCATCTGTTTTTATGTATTGTTAAGAAGGATGATTCGCTGTGATGACCCCTGAAGGGAGTAGCCAAAGTTTTTTTTTATCAGAAAAGTAGATATCAGGAGAGGGATCTTAAGACTTTAGAGAAAATAAATAAATTCTGAGACCACATGTAATGAGGTGTACTAAAGCTGTTGGCAGATTATCTTTTGACTGCCACAGAGAGGCCTGAGACTAATATATGAACCTCTCTGTGTATTTCTTTCTGTTGATGAAGTAATGTTCAGGCTCTATAAAATTAAAATGCTTGGCTATTAATTAGTTTTTTAAAGGGACAGGCAGAACTTAATGACATCTACCTTGAGTCTGTGTTGGTCCACTTGGTTCCGAAATGTCCAAAATACATGGCCACACCGATGGAACGTGACTGAGTAAAATCCCCAAGATCTGATCCATTCAGCCCAAAGCATTTGAGTCTGGGTACCCGAGACATGAACCAAGCCATCATAAAGGCAAGCAGCATGATCAGGTCCAAATTTGCAGCCGACGACTTCCTTGATTGTAGATAAAACCAGCAACCAGCAAAATCCAAAAAAGCAGGACCAGTTATCGAAAATCCAATTAAATGTGTCCTTAAAATCCACAAAGGGCAGCAGAGAGAGACACATCATCAAGTCTTCCAGTCGATGAGATATCCAGCTGTGTGTGTGCCAACAGGGCAAATCGGCTCACCTAAAGCCTGTCTTCTCTTCGAAGAAATGTTGTAAATTGAGTTGAGGGACCAACTTACATAGAGAACTACTAATTGGCTTTTATGTATGTGAATGTTTCTGTAAAGTGCCCTGAGACAACTTTGTTGTGATTTGGCGCTATATAAATAAACTGAATTGAATTGAACTGATCAAAACAGTCCATAATTATGGTTCGGAAGAAATGCAAGAGAGTCTTACAGCAGTTTCACAGACAGACAGAGCAGTAAAGCAGAGAGGGAGGGGAGAAGCATCCGATCTCGTCGAGAGCAAGTGGTAAAGGGTGCCATGACAAACCACCCAAGTAAAGTAGTTAGTTTCAGTGAGTTTTACAAGTCAGCATATTGTAATGCTTTGAAACTGTGTTTTCATGTAGGATGTCAGAAAAGAATAAGTCTCGGCCACACTAATGGTTGGAGTGCTGACTGTTCTCCCTGAGGAGGAAAGACACACTGGAGTTCCAGCCCACATCAACTGCTGCTGTTGTGGGCCCTTGGGCATAGAATGGTACAAGAAAGGCACAGCCAAGGGGCACAGAAAGGTATGAAATGGACATGGTCAATACTTTATAATTTTGAATGGCCTGTGTGATTGGCTCGTGCCCGTCTGGTGCCACTGTATGCATATGGGCATGGAATGGTCCCAGATGGGCACAGTCAAAAATTTGAGATTTCAACTGTTGATCGACACTTTTTTGCCTCTCCGGACCACCTTGAGTCCAAATATCTAGTCGAAATTGGTCTAGCTTGAAATCATTTGTTGATGGATCTCAAGAGCTATCCATCAAAATTGGGTGAATTTTTTTTTTAGATTTCGGCTGCTGCATGACGCTTTCCCACATCTCCAGACCGTTCCAAGTCAGAATATGTAGTCGAAATCCGTCTAGCTTGAAATATTTTTTCACTTCATTATGTGTGCTGTGCCCCTCTAGTGCCACTGTATGCCCATGGGCATGGAATGGTACTAGATGGGCATGGCCAAGGGGCATAGAACGGTACGAGATGACACGGTCAATACTTTATATCAAGGATACTCATTGGGCGGCTCGCGAGCCACATGTGGCTCGCCATGCTTTATTGGTGGCTCTCGTGACAGGTTACAACAATATGCCAGCACAACCAATACATTTTTAAAGTGTGCTGTGCATTGCGCAATAATTGCACTTCGGCTCGGTCTTTGATGAGGTTTTACGAATAATAATATGTTAATTTACTTGTTGAAGAGGAGGCAGGTTTGATCGGCCGGTAGAGGTAATAAAAAAAAAGTCCTGTTAAGCTTCAGATGGATCAGCTGATCATCATCGGCCGCGCGCATCCGCTGATCCACTGATCAAAAGACGTAAAAAAATGTCCTGTTAATCTCAGATGGATCAGCTACCAGCCGCATGTGTCTCTGCACCTGCTGTCATCTGCGGTGAAGGAAGTAGGAGCATCTACGCAGGGCCAGTTCTAGGCATGGTTACGTGAAGGGGCAGGTGGAAATGTGAAGGGGGCATCTTCATCCATACACATATTACAGCATATTCATTGAGCATGGATTTTGGTATTCATTGTTATTGACTTGTGTTTTCTTCATGGGATTGGGGTAATAGCGAAAAGCTGAAATTTTTACACCTGTGAGTGAAAATTTTCAACCATGAACACTATCAAGCAAAAACAGAGAAACAGACTGACCCATGCCCATCTTGAATGCTTCACTGTGGTTGCAACAACAAATTACAAATATAACATGAAGAAAGTCAAGGACATGCACAATGTTTTTTTTTTTGCCATGCATCCCAAGTCCAAATATGTAATCAAAATTGGTCTAGTTTGAAATTATTTTTTTCATGGATCTCATGACCACAGCTGTTGTGAGAATCCATCAAAATTGTGTGAATTTTTTTTTTTTAGATTTCGGCTGCAGCTTGACACTTTTCTGCCTCTGCAGACCACCCCGAGTCCAAATATGTAGTCGAAATTGGTGTAGCTTAACTTTTTTCTTTCCACATTTTTGTGTGCAAATGCCATGCCTCTTTGGTACCACCGTATGCCCATGGGCATAGAATAGTACCAGATGGGCATGGCCAAGGGGCACAAAAAGTTATGAGATGGAGACTGTCAATATAATGTAGAATAACCTATCCTCCATATACTATAGGGTGGCTGTGGCTGAGTGGTTAGAGCAGTCGTCCTTCAATGCTAGAGTTGGGGGTTCAATTCCAACAGCAATCACATGCCATAGTGGCCTTGGACAAGACACTGAATCCGCGATAAGCTAGAAAGATGTTGTGTATGCACAGTCCATCTATCATTTACCATTTACCACTTTATGCCCCTCAACGGGCAATATTGGTACCAAAGGAGCAGGGCAATGTCTTTATGTTTTTGTGGACAGTGCTCCTCTCATGCCACTTCATGCCCTTAAATGGGCATGGACTTATCCATATGGGCACGGCCCATCGTTTAACAATGTTTTGTCCCAACGCCCCTCAGGTGATGCTTTATGCCCTGTGTTACAGCCAGTGGCCTTGTATGTTCTTTTGTTTCTTTTAAAAACACTTCTGTATAGTTGCAGCTTCCTGCCTGCTGGCTGCACTGTGGGAACTGGATGCAGCCCTCCTCCTGTGTCACTTCCTATCTGAGGCCTACAGCAGACCTGACTAGATCATCACTTGATGGCTTCACCAATCCCTGAAGAGGCCTCCCTATTTAAACCTCAGCTTCCTCACAGAAGGTGCGGCTGTTTCCTTGTTAGAACAGCTTGCCACTTGTGCTGGGTGTTTGTGATAGCTTTAATAGCTTTGACTTGCTGTGTTAACCTGAATGTGCTGCTACTAGAGTGTTGTTTGTAGCTAGATTAGAACTGAACTGTGTTTAGTTTGTTCCTTTTCTTTTTCTTTGTTGGGTTTTGTACTGCTTTTGGTTTGTAGCCACTTGGTTTGTTTGGCCTCAAGTTTTTGGGTATGTTTGGTTTAGAAAAGAGCTTTGGGCTACAGCTCTTAATTGAATACCTCTATTTTTGTTTTGTGGATTTTTGCTTTAATTCTGGAGTTTTCAGTTTGAGACTTTGGTTGACTTGTGATTATTGTTAATTTTTATTTTATTTTACAAAACTGGACAATAAACACTGAACTGTTTAACCCTTTAAAATCTGGGTTTTAATTTTACTGCTCCTTCCCCCTGGCTGAGCCAGGTCGTAACACCCTGCCAAAATGGGCACATTTGATACCCGAGGGGCACGGCCTATACCTTATAATATAATAGTGTTTTACTACCTCTTTTTATGTTTTTATTACTTCTTTTATTACCTCTGATGTTTCAATTTATTTTAATACCGTAATAAATTGACAAAATTAATCAAAATGCTGTTTTCACTTTGACATCATGGGGTACTGAGTGAGGTAAATAAATGTAAGCAATCGTAGCATCAAGCTGCAACATGAAATTAAAAAAGTCAAGTTGATGAGTTACTCAAAATGTCTTACCCTTTTAAAGAGCAGGAAGGCACTTTCAGGGTTACCTCTCAAACCGCTCAACGCTTCAGTGCTTTTTGCTGCAAACAAACAAAAATTACAGACGTATTATGCGTTAAACATTGGAGCTGACAAATCCTAGTTATTTTGGGGTTTTTTTTTTTTGGTTTACACAACCTGAAATTTTTACATCAATTCATGCAACAAATATTCAACAATAAGGGGTTAAAATTAAAGTTTTGTATGAAAAGCTGACAAATTTAGTCAGTAAATTTACTAGCCTGACAACAATTCCTTCTAAAACATGGAAGACAAATAAGTTTTATGTTCTACGTTTGTAAAAATGCAAATGAAGTTCAAACAAGTATTATTTCATAGAATTTTCATCAAAATATATCCAGTGGTTTATACAAAAAAAGTTAAATCAGGTGATCTAGGCAGGTATTTTGGGGGGGAGAAATCTTTCATCTTTCATCCGAAAGACTTCATCAGTCTGAGGCCTGCCACCAAGGTCCGTCTTATAGAGGTGCTGGTGATAAAATTAGAATATCATGAAAAAGTTTATTTCAGTAATTCTATTCAAAAAGTGAAACTTGTATATTATATTCATTCATTACACGCAGACTGATCTATTTCAAATGTTTATTTCTTTTAATGTTGATGATTATAACTGACAACTAAAATCTAAAAATCCCAAATTCAGTATCTCAGAAATTTAGAATATTACTTAAGACCAATAAAAAAGGATTTTTAGAAATGTTGGCCAACTAAAAAGTATGAACATGAAAAGTATGAGCAGGTACAGCACTCAATACTTAGTTGGGGCTCCTTTTGCTGGATTACAGCAGCAATGCGGCGTGGCAGGGAGTCGATCAGGTTGTGGCACTGCTCAGGTGTTATGAGAGCCCAGGTTGCTCTGATAGTGGCCTTCAGCTCTTTTGAATTGTTGGGTCTGGTGTATCGCATCTTCCTCTTCACAATACCCCATAGATTATCTATGGGGTTAAGGTCAGGCAAGTTTGCTGGCCAATTACGAACAGGAATATCATGGTCCTTAAACCAGGTACTGGTAGCTTTGGCACTGTGTGCAGGTGCCAAGTCCTGTTGAAAAATAAAATCTGCATCTCCATAAAGTTGGTCAGCAGCAGGAAGCATGAAGTGCTCTAAAACTTCCTGGCTGTGTTGACTCTGGAATTCAGAAAACACAATGCACCAACCAGCAGATAACATGGCCCCCCAAACCATCACTGACTGTGGAAACTTGACACTGGACCTCAAGCAATGTGGATTCTGTGCCTCTCCTCTCTTTCTCCAGACTTTCATCGGAGAACATAGCTTTGGACCACTCAGCAGCAGTCCAGTCCTTTTTGTCTTTAGCCCAGGCGAGATGCTTCTGATGTAGTCTCTTGTTCAAGAGTGGCTTGACACAAGGAATGAGACAGCTGAAACCCATGTCTTGCATACATCTGTGTGTGGTGGTTCTTGAAGCACTGACTCCAGCTGCAGTCCACGCTTTGTGAATCTCCCCCACATTTTGGAATGGGTTTTGTTTCACCATCCTCTCCAGAGTGTGGTTATCCCTATTGCTTGTACACTTTTTTCTACCACATCTTTTCCTTCCCTTCACCTCTCTATTAATGTGCTTGGACACAGAGCTCTGTGAACAGCCAGCCTCTTTAGCTTTTACCCTCTTTGTGCGAGGTGTCAATGGTCATCTTTTAGACAACTGACAAGTCAGCAGTCTTCCTCATGATTGTGTAACCTACAGAACTAGACTGAGAGATCATTTAAATGTCTTTGCAGGTGTTTTGAGTTAATTAGCTGATTTGAGTGTGGCACCAGGTGTCTTCAATATTGAACCTTTTCACAATATTCTAATTTTCTGAGATACTGAATTTGGTGTTTTCATTAGTTGTCAGTTATAATCACACCTCAAATCTCATCTGTTCAAGTTAGCCATCTCACTTTAATTTTTTGTTATTTTCTTCTTGGATTAGTGCTTTTATAGCATTTTGTATTTTTTTGTGTTTTATTTTGTGTTTTTAATGTTGTGAAGTGTCCTTGGGTGTCTTGAAAGGCACCAACAAATAAAATACATTATTATTATTATTGTTATTATTTTTATACTCATCAACATTAAAATAAATCAAATTTGAAATATATTAGTCTGTGTGTTTAGGGCTGTTGTAAACAATTATTTTCGTAATCAAGTAATCTATAGATTATTCTGGCGATTCATCGAGTTTCAAGTCTGTGGTATAGCAAAACAATTGCTTTTTTCTAAAACGCAAAAACAGAAGAGAAATAAATAAGTTTGGATTGAAGGTGGAGATGATCTTCTGGAAGCCTTCATCTTCCACCACGGACAGCAGCTGCAAAAGCGTAGAAAAATCCAGAAATCACAATGTATGATTTTTTAAAATATTTTATTTGTGTGTTACTGCTGCAAATAAGTATTGGAACACCTGTGAAAATCAATGTTAATATTTGGTACAGTAGCCTTTGTTTGCAACTACAGAGGTCAAACGTTTCCTGTAGTTTTTCACCAGGTTTGCACACAATGCAGAAGGGATTTTGGCCCATTCCTCCACACAGATCTTCTCTAGATCAGCCAGGTTTCTGGGCTGTCGCTGAGAAAAACGGAGTTTGAGCTCCCTCCAAAAATTTTCTATAGGGTTTAGGTCTGGAGATAGCTAGGCCACTCCAGAACCTTGATATGCTTCTTACGGAGCCACTCCTTGGTTATCCTGGCTGTGTGCGTCGGGTCATTGTCATGTTGGAAGACCCAACCACGACCCATCTTGAATGCTCTAACTGAGGGGAGGAGGTTGTTCCCCAAAATCTCGCAATACATGACCCCAGTCGCCCTCTCCTTAACACAGTGCAGTCGTCCTGTCCCATGTGCAGAAAAACACCCACAAAGCATGATGCTTCCACCCCCATGCTTCACACTAGGGATGGTGTTTTGGGGTTGGTACTCATCATTCTTCGTCCTCCAAACACGGCAAGTGTAATTAAGACAAAAAGTTCTATTTTGGTCTCATCTGACCACATAACTTTCTCCCATGACTCCTCTGGATCATCCAAATGGTCAAGGGCAAACTTAAGACAGACCTAGACGTGTGCTGATTTAAGCAGGGGAACCTTCCGTGCCATGCATAATTTTAAACTATGACGTCTTAGTGTATTACCCACAGTAACCTTGGAAACAGTGGTGCCAGCTCTCTTCAGGTCATTGACCAGCTCCTCCCGTGTAGTTGTGGGCTGATTCCTCACCTTTCTTAGGATCATTGATACGCCACAAGGTGTGATCTTGCATGGAGCCCCAGTCTGAGGGAGATTTGACAGTCATGTTTAGCTTCTTCCATTTTCTAATAATTTCTCCAACAGTTGATCTTTTTACACCAAGCTGCTTGGCAATTGCCCCGTAGCCCTTTCCAGCCTTGTGGAGGTCTACAATTTTGGCTCTGGTGTTTTTGGACAGCTCTTTGGTCTTAGCCATGTTAGTAGTTGGAGTCTTGCTGATTGTGTTGGGTGGACAGGTGTCTTTATGTAGCTAACAACCTCAAACAGGTGCTTCTAATTTAGAATAATAAGTGGAGCGGAGGTGGACTTTCTAGAGGCGGACCAGCAGATCTTTGAGGGCCAGAATTGTTGCTGATTGGCAGCTGTTCAAATACTTATTTGCAGCAGTAACACACAAATAAATTATTAAAAAATCTTACATTGTGAGTTCCTGATTTTTTTTTTTTTTTTAGATTATGTCTCTCACAGTGGACATGCACCTAAGAAGAAAATGTCAGACCCCTCCATGATTTCTAAGAGGGAGAACTTGCAAAGTTGCAGGGTGTTCAAATACTCATTTTCCTCACTGTATTTTGCAAAGAGAACATGATACCTGTTACAGCTGCGGACAAGTTTGATGCTACAGCGGGTGTTTTCTCTTCAGATGCTGCAACATCAATGACGTGCTGTTGTGGTTACTCGAGTTCTGCTTTGCAGTGGATGCATTGTGATGTGTTGTCTTTTCTGTTTAGCCTAAAATGTTCCCAAAATTTGACAGTTTTTTTTCCTTTTTCAGAACTCTTCGGCCGTTCCCTCCATTGCTACACACTTGGCACATACGCGCCAGGCGTTAGCAGAAGTGCTATCGGAAGTGCTAGCGGAAGCGTTAGCGTTGTGAAACACAAACCTTCCGGATAGACCACAGTGCTTTTAACGAAGCTTCAAGGCAGACACATTTGCCTGGAGGATTTTTTGTAATTGAGGTACTTGAATTATTTGAGGAATTGTTTCAGCCTTATGCGTAATGAATGAATATAATATACAAGTTTCACTTTTTGAAATTACTGAAACTTTTTCATGATATCTCATTTTATGACCAGCACCTATAAATAGCACATCCTTGAAGACAGTTTCTGGGAATTCAACAGAAGACTGTCTTTAAACACATCAAGGAGGTGCTATTTATAACACAGATCCTGTTGGCAGACCTCAAACTGTTGGTCTTTCAACAGTTTTTGTATTTATCTACCTGGATTATTGAGCTTACAAACATTTTTTCCAGTTGTTTATGTTAAGAGGCCTGGCAGGCCCAGAAGTGGAAACTTGAATAGCACTACTGCTTTTGTAAGAGACCACATTTAAGTGACACAAACATCAGATGAGAGATAAAATATGGTGAGTCTTCATCTGATCACATGTATCAGCCATGATCACTGACATACTGACAGGCTGCTCATGAGAACAGGCAGCATCAGAGACAGAGATTCTTTATTGTCATTCGCACCACATGTGGTACATGTGGTGGAGCGAAATTACGTACACAGGGTCCCAGTTACATCCAACAATAAAATGTATGCGAAAACAGTCACAAGATCTAAGATATGAACTTAGAAAAACATCAACTAAATATACACTAAGCACTAATAGCATAAAAACATCAAGTCGAACATCAGCACAAACATGAGCATGAGTCTGTGTAAGCAGATGAGCACGCATGAACACATCCACATGAAACAGATCAGCCACAACTTGAAACAGATTAGCAGCAACATGAGGTGATTTTTTCACAGTGATT